TGGGGAATTCTGGGAATTGAAGTCCACATATCTTAGAGTTGCTGAGGTTGAGAAGCACTATTGTAAAGTTAAGATGCTTTCCCACAAAGCCTCAATTATAGAATGTGGAGGGTAGGGAGGTCAATCCAGGCAGCAAAGATGGATTTAGTCAATATTTTGACTAAAATTGCCCAGAACTGTTGATCTGGAAACATTCTTGATTATCCATCCATGATCTACCTGACAGAATGCAGCTGAATGTTAGGAGAAACTTCTGTACAGCCACATTAGTTGGACAAGGAAGCCGATAGCTGAGGAAGGTGATGGGTTTCACTTTGGGGGTACTCAAGCCGAAGCTGGAAGGCCATCTGTTCAGGAACCTTTAATCTGGATCTCTGCACTGAACAGGCAGATGGATGGCCTAAATTAATCTGTTCAACTCTTAGATTCTATCATCAAGCCAACGTTTTCTTCCTCTGAAATGTTGGATTCACTGAGGCACTTGTAAAACCTTTGCTACACAGTTATAGTGGTTATCAACTTGGAACGATTATTTTACTTGATGCTTTACACGTCTGTTCACAGCCCACTTTAATCTGTGTAAGTAATTTGGTGATCCAGCCATCCCTTTGATTCAAATAGAGCCGTACGAAGTATAATATACATACAGTACTTGTAAATTATAATGACTTAGTGCTAATTAGCTTTTAGTTTTATATACCATTCTGTATCCCTTCCTGACAACAAGTTCATCTTGACTCTGTCTGCTTAATGATCTTGCTCTAAGTAGGCTGGACATAATTTTTGATAAAGAAAATCTGGCACTCTGAAACCTCCAGTTATATATTGCCATTTTCAAAAACTCAGGTTACAGACCTGTAAATGGAATTGGAGCTAGACATTTTTAACATTCTGGAGTTGGCAGATAATGAAGTTTAATGTTTTCTGCTTTTCAAGAAATAACTTTTGGTTTAGGAAAGGCCCATTATCATTGCTAAAGGCATTTTGTATTCCCTTTAAATTGTATTTTTCTTTAAAAGAATAACACCTTTGACTGAATTGCTTAATTATGTGTAGCTGTAATTTATGTCATTCCATTGTTTTTCTCTTTCTTCTTCACATTATCTCCTTCCCTTTTTATTATAAACTGCTTTGGGCAGATATGGCCCTTGCTCACTTACAAAATTGTCAGACATTCTAAGTGCTGTGTATGTTGGGGAAGCAATTATTAATTAATTAATTAATTAATTAATTAATAGCTCTTCTTGACCAAGCTCTCTCTGTTGCTAAAAGACTTTTATGTGTGACTTTCATACAAGCTTTGCAAGTATCTTGCTATTCCTTAAGTATCCATCTCAGCTTTACCATGTTTAACCCTCTCCTCCCAGCATGAACAAATTCCGGTCTAATTCTCCAGATTCTGACTTTCTACTTAATTGCCTGCCTTTTTTTGATCGCATCTCAGTAGATTCCTATTCTTAGATCATACACATCCCACAAATCTTGTTCTTTAATCTGAGTTTCTCCCTTTTGCCCTCCCCTGCTGCTTCTGTTCCATTGCAGGTGTTATCAAAGACAAGGAACGTAAGATGGAGGATGACCTGAGCGTTTCAAGACCTGGGCACTGCGCATATCTGGGGTCCCTCCTGTGGGAGCGCACCTTGCCCTACAATGAGATTGAATACGTTGACTTGGATGAATTTTTGCTGGAAAATGGCTTGCCCCCAAGTCCAGCCCATCAGTCCTATTCCCCAGGCAGCCAGCCCACTGCCTCGCCTTCCAGTGGGGTCGTGGTGGATCTTAGTCGCCCTGCTTCCTGTGCATCATCGTCTTCGATCTGTTCTTCGTCTGGGGAAGGCCTAGTGGGTAGCGATTATGACCAGAACTGCAGCAAGACAGGTAAATTGGGCTGTACATTGGGCAAGAGGGTGGTGTGGGAAAAAAAGGTGAAGACATAGCGATTGGCTCCTGTGATTCTCCTGCTTTTGAGAAGAGTTTTGTGAAAGAACTGTGAGAATCTCCTTTTCCCTCCTTTTAACTGTTTCCAAAAGTCTGTTTTTTCCCAGCTTCCAAACATCTTAGATGTCACACACTATCACACACTGATGGTAGGCCTAAAACTGTAGATGCCCACACAAATACTTGGTGACTAGACTGTGAAGAACACCCTTATAAAGCTGTAGTGCAAATTCCAACTTATATTCTTACATGCTTGGTTGTGTTTTCTTTCTGTAATGTGCAGTGACTCTATGATAAAAGAAGAAAGCATAATTTTAAAAAGCCCTTTGAAGTTGTAGGGGGCAAGGTCATATTGCAATGTACCTTTTGTTTTAAGGCACAAAGAGTTGGGGACATGCCACATGTTGCACAGGGATGCATATAACAAAGCATTTTTTTATATAAAAATGAAAAATAGATTGTGGAAGCCATGATTTGCAGTGAAAGAACAGCAAAAGAGAAGAGTGTGTATCATTTTTTCCCTGTTAGACAATTTTTCTGTTCTGAATCATTCCTTCTCAGCTATTTTTCTCCTGTGGTTAAATCTGTATGAGAGGAAAAGCACTTAGCACTCTGAGCAGGGAAAAGCGCACCTTTTCTTCCTTGTGCTCCAGATCTCAATTTTAACCCCCTATTTTGACCCCTATCCTAAGTGTACCCTTCTTTTTCCTATTTGACCAGTTCTTACTTTAAAAAGAACTCTAAATTTATTACAAATCTACTTATTCTTAGAATAACTTCTGCAAAAAGATTATTATTTGAAACATGATGTACTTGTTTGGAATATGGGGGCTTAGGCAGCACCGTGGAGCTGATGAAAAAAAATTATTTTAGCACCCTCACTGGATGCGAGAGGGGAAGGCAGTTTCGAGTTCCTCCCTGATTGTGGCAAGAGCTGGCAGTTTCATCTCCTCCTAATTGCAAATAGTTTTCAGTCCCACCTCCTGGTGGTGGTGGTAATGACAGCCTTTTCCTCGCTGCTGGGAAGTTCACCCTTTCATTCCTACCCTGGTTTTCACTTGCCACATATGCATACACACTGGTGCACCAAGAATTGTGTACTGCTAGCACACACCATGCGCCATTGCACAGACTAGGAAGGAACATTATTTTTAACCCCGTCCTGATTTGTAGAGGAATTATTTTCCCTACCCGTTTGAAGATTTAGAATTTCAGAAAAGTTCCAAGGTATTTTTATTGTGGAGAGGACCAGAGAAGGAATTTTAGGGAACAGTCTAGGTGCAATTAAGGATGCAGTATTCTGAAAGTAAGCATATACTGACTTGATCAGTTCACTGCAGTCTTCTTCAAACTGGGTATTCTCCGGATGTGTGGACTTCAGCTTCCAGAATTCCCAGTCAGGGAATTTTAATTACAGGTATTGCTAGGAATTCTGGGAGATGAAGTCCATATAGCTAGAGGAACGCCTGTTGGGAGTTGATCCAATGGATGAAAACTCCATGTTATAATAGAACTGGTGTATTAAAGAGTATGTGGAAAGGGATGGAGGTTTAGACAATTTATATCAGTAAGAAAATTGCAAATGAATGCAGCATACACTCAACATGATTGTTACTTTAATAATCTCATAGCTTCTGGGGACTTCTGAGAAGTTTGGGTTGAATATTGCATTCACCTTGAAACACCCCCATGCTGAAGACAATGACTTCTAACCTTTCATTTCTTTGCCTGGATTTGCACAACATGCTAAACTTGGTTAGTTTTAACCTTGGTTAGGGCTTTGGCGGAGGGATTAGCATGTTGTACAAATCCAGCCTGTTTGAATAGTTTATGGTTCAGAAACATCAGAAAATGGGTTAATTCAGTAACCAAGTTCACTGTGTTGTGCAAACCCCACCTTAGAGTGGTAATAATTGTATTCAGACTTCATTTCTGACTGAACCTTGTTCTGATTCCCAATAGAAAGGTGGATTATGTGAATTTTATTTTAAACAGAGTAATGGAGGTTTGAGTTGGATAATATTTAGAAAGTGACCTACCAGATTTGATTCTGAATGTTGCTTTTCTGCTTTCATTTAGAATTGTGATTGCTGATAAGTTGCAGGAAAGGAGGAAGTTTAGGGAGCTATTTTGGATGGGAATCTGGCACTTGCAGTTTATGGCGAAAAATATTGGGAGAGCAAGTTAGTGGGGATTAATTGATTCCATCCACAGTGAATTGCAGGATGTGCAACTCCATGGTTGTGCTCTAGAGTGGTATTTCTCAACCTTAGCAGCTTTAAGCTGTATGGACTTCAACTCCCAGAATTCCCCAGCCAGCATACTGGCTAGGAATTGTCAGAATTGAAGTCCACACTTCTTAAAGTTGTGAAAGTTGAGAAACACTGCTCTGGAGTCATTCTTAGACCAGTGGTGCTCCAAGTTGACTCCCACTTCAGTAGTGACTTGGTCACAGTGGACAGAGTAACCAGTACTGTGAGAAGGTGATGTAATTAATCTGATGTCCAAGATGATGCAAGTTTTTTTAAGTGAATTTCTAATTCCTGCAGGTATGTCTTTGATAAATGTATGTGGTCCCTCTCAAACTGTAAGACTTGATGAAGCCTTCCCTACTTCCTGCTTCATCCCATAAAGTTTCTCCCCAGTTGCGATTCTTCACTTTCTCTGACTTGCTCAGATCAATGTTAACTGGAATACCTATTATTCCTGAATGCTCCATCTCTTCCTTGTAAGACATAACCTGGATTCCCACAACATGCTAAAGCTCCATGGAGTTTGGTGGTCCAGCATGGAATGAGAATCCAGCCATCATCTTAGCCTGTTGTATGCACCAGGCCATCACATTATGCCATAATGTTTTAATTGTTTGAGCAGAGTGTGTTTAATAAACACAGAAATTGTTTTATTAATCCAGATCTATATAGTCAGAGAATCTAACACTTTTCTCTTTTATTTAAATCTAAATAACTGGAGCCCTTATGTCCCCCCCCCAAAAAACATTGAATACAAATTGCCTCCCTCTCTCCAGATTTTCTTACATTTAACCCTGGAACTCTGCCCACCCTTTCCTCTAAAAACTCTTTTGCCTCCCAGGGAACCCAGGCACCCTGATATTTTTCCAGGTATCCCCCCTTTTTTTCTTGTTGCTCCATCTCAACCCTCTCAGCCTTTCAGGATACCAACAGCCTCCATTTAAAAACAGAAGCCTCCCCTTTAAATAAACAGCCCCGCACAACCTGGGGATCCTGAGAGGAGGAACCTTTCCTCCTCTCCACCCATAAGGTGCCCCCTTTCAGAACACCTCCTGGGGATGATGGGAGTGCTAGTCAACCCAGCTGAAGAGCAGCTTCTGGGCAAGGCTGCACCAGAAGCTTCCTCTTTTCTGAGCATCAGGTGTAGAGCTCTCCCCCCGCCTCCCCCCTCCCCGCCTCAAGGAGGAGGCCTGAAGCCTGCCTGCCTCTGCACATTTGAATGCGTGTGCACGTGTCCTGGAATAGAGACCTGGCCCTAGCGTGCTAGGAGGCTGTGGGGAATCCCGTGTTACTGGTGTGCCAGAGCCCTATGTCGGCCACGCCTGCTTGGAAAGACTCAGTCTCGTGTCTCTGCACGGAGCCTCCTGCTTTCGCTCACGTTTCTCACCCTGCCTCTGCGAACACATGTCACTCGGCTGGGCTCTGCGCTCATCTGCTCCTGCCAGCTGGCAGCCTGCCCCTTCCTCAGCGCAGGGCGGGGCGAGCGGGCACGTGGGGCTGCGGTGTGAGGCAGGCGGGCAGGGCCTCTCCAGGGGTGCGTGTGTGGCTCTCCCAGCCGGGCAGGTTCCCACAAGGGACCAGCAGCTGGGGGTTGCAAAGGGGGTGGAACAGCCTTCCGTCAGGGCTCTCCTGAAAAGGGAGGTGGGTGGAGTAATCCAGCAGGGCCAGACATTTGGGGTCTCCAAGGGGGAGGAGGTTAGGAGGGGACTGGCAGATGCCTGGGTTCTGGGGGGGGAGAGGAGAGGAGAGGAGAGGA